AACCACGCAAGAAAAACAATTTGCATATCGATTTATAAGGATTTGTATGGGATTTTCTACAAGATATCCATAGAGATAGTTAAAAGTGAAAATAATGAATAAAAGTGGCTTACCTTATTCCATACGTGTGTTGTTTGCTCCTGGTGTCGTTATTTTACCGATTTAACTTGATTTAAGTGGTTTTTTTAATCCTGGTCTTCTCTTCTCAAACGCGATCGGAGCTGTAAGTCACGCAACCACCATAACTCTAAGCTTCAAACTGCGCTGGTTTCCGAACCAAGCACGCTGTTGAGCTGAAAAGTTGAAAATAGATGTGAATTGAAACCCCCTTATGCCTGCTGAGGATAAAAATTTTCGAGGCTCTTTAGTTTTAAATTTTGGAGTCTGATGACGTTAAGTGAAAACGATCTCTACGTGCCACACAGCTAAAAGTAAACAGACTAAAATTTGCATACGTGTTGAACAGCACTTGCCCGGTAACGTGATACGCTACAATGAAATTTCGAGAAAGGTGTCTGTGTTTGTCTTCCTTGAAAAAGACGAAAGTAGCGCGTTTAATTTGAGTTTGGATACTGGCCAAAGTCGCTAGTGGAAAGCGAAAGCCTCTTGCAAAAATTGAATTTCTACTAGTCTGAGGCTAGTTGGGTACCGTTAGGGTCGAGCGGCCCTGGAGTCTACTTCCTCTACGGCCGGAGCCCACGTTCAACAGAATTCTGATATCCAAGAATTATGAGGTTGTTGTACATAATAGTCTCCTCATATTTTCTCTTCAATGCTCAGCAACACTTTCTGGAAGTAGGTACGTCTCTTTTCTTTCTTGTGGTGAGCAACATAACCTAACATAAGGACACTTTTCATGAAGTCAAGTTTGGCGCTTGCAACAATATTGGAATTATTTAAATCTCCGCCCATGATAAATGTGTTCCTATGCTGTGAAACTTGTAGTTGTGTGGCTGAAGAAATCGAGATGCAATCATCTTAAAATCTGAAATGTGATCATCAGATTTTCAAGTTTTAATGCCATTTTAGCTTATGATATAACCACGGTCAGTTTTAATATATCACTACATTTCTTAATAGTACAGCTCTCGGTATGTTTTTTTTGAAATATAAGAAGGTGGTGATGTATTTTATATCAATGAAAGTTTCTATTTCTGTTATCTGCACTCTTCATATAAAATATCATTTTAATCCGTAATTCTCATCAATAAAAATGAAAGCTTTCAATAACCTTAAATATATCATGACAGCATGTTTTGATTGATTTGATGTAAATTTTAATTAAAATTCATTTCCAATTTTTTATCTGAAAGAAACTGAGAGGAGCGTTTAAACTTTCTCACTCGAGTAAAGTTGGTGCCTACATCGTATTGCTTTATTTATTTCAATTTGTCTAGTAGTGACCTTGTGATTACAGCTTTCTTGTTGCTGGATTTATAATTTTGACTATATTGTAAGAGTTAATCTGCATGCTGCTTTTCACAAATTTTATAAATTGCTTGGAACCGT